GGGGACATGCAGGGCACCGGGACACCCCGGGACACCCCGAGCCCTGCCCGGGCCCTCCAGCGGGCGGCAGCCGAGAGCCGCGGGCCGGGGCCGCCGGGGGCAGCCGGCGTTGGGGCTTTCCTCGGCCAGAAGCCGCTTTCCCAGGGAGAAGGCGGCTCTTCCTGAGGAGCAGAGGGGTCCCCGAGCTCGCCGGTCTCCGGGGAAGAGCGGGGCGGCTCCAAGTCCCCAGAGGGAAACCTCAGTGCGAGCGGCCTGTTGCGCCCGCCTCCCAGACCAGCCGCCGGGAGCTGGGGAAGCCCCCGGACCACCCCCGGCACCGAGCTGTCCGCGGCTGGTGGCTTCAAAGCCGAGACAGGGTGGTGGGGTGGAGTCGGAGGTGTTGATCCCTTGGGGATCAAGCCACTGTCTCCTCAGGTGCCGGGGGCTTGCTCCTGAGGTGTGGGGAAGGTGGCTGGCGCCTGTGTGTTTCGATGGTGGCCTGAGGCCCCGAGCAACGCTGGCCTGGTGTAGCGAACGGTACTTGTTTAAAATTAATTTCCTCGCGGGTGTTAGAAGTCAAGCCAACATCTTTATTTCGTTTCGGCCTAAGCCAGTGGGGGACTGGTTTATACTGAAAGAAAATCAATCACTTTCCTGGAGAAATCAGCATACATACAGCCTATATATAGCCCATTGTACTTTGCTTATAAGCCAAGTGAGAGTGAGCAAGGCTTTCAAAATCCTTTGGCTGCTCCCCCACCAGCCTAAATTCCAGACTTTTTCAGGTTTAACACAAATCCAGAACAAGGGAAGCATGTTGCATTTGAAATCCTCACATTTTTCAGCCTGTGGAAGTTTTCCCCTTGATACCAGGAAATCCTCGATAACGGTCAGGGCATGTTCCAAACCCACAGGAGATTTTGTCAGCCTCCTCTTTGTTTCCTCCACCGGAAAGAGAAATTCCCCAAATCTCCATTTCAGTCTGCTGTGCTCATTGCATTGCCTGGTCGGGGAAGTTCTTGAAAGTCTTCAAGCTATTTGTTTTCTTAGGTTATGTCTGCACTCGGAAAATGGTTATAATTTGCTTGGTTGATAGTAGTTGCTGCCTTATAAGAAGTTAGTAGAGAGGGCAAGCTGTGAACATATGCTGTACCTGAATGGGGTTTCTTTAAAAACTCTGGTTCTCTCATACAGGTTTATCCTCATCCAGCCAACGTGTATGAGAAATGCCAGGTACTAACTATCATTTTTAAAATCACACCATTTTGCCAATTCAGGCAAACCCTCAGGGAAATTCTCCCAGATTTTGTTTATCCACGCAGTGCATAAATCTTTTAACCACTCCATTTGCCTGGGGCCACATGGGGGTTACACACTGCACATAAGCAGGGGGAACATGCTGTAGCCTTAGGCAATCCGAATTGTTGAAAAAAATTGTATGTAAACACTTATAAACAAGTTTTCAAGATCTCTATTAAATAAGCAATAAACTAATCCTTGTCATAGACAGATAGGCACCCATGTCTCAGCTGTTTAAGAGCAAATTGCGTAAGACGTAGTGCCTGAAATACCTCAGTCTAAAAGCACCATCATTGTGTTCATGCGAAAATGAAAACAAAGACAACCAAAGACTTGAGGAGGCTGATCAGCACAGATAACACTAAAATACACACAGAAGAACTGAAGTTCTCATTTCTTGCTACCAATCACATTTGTTTCTGGTCTTCAAAGAAAGCATACCTGTACCTTGTCATATTGTTTTAACCTATTCAACTTCTAGGTGCTCTTGCCATGAGTATTCTAAGTGACGCCAGCTTAAATCACTGTTCAGAGACCCAGGAAATGAAATTATACTCTGAGAGCTCAGCCGTGAGTAACTTTTTCCCACTCCCAAGCTGAGAGCTAAACAAAAGGGCTCTAGATGTACACATTTTCTGACCCAAGGAGAGAGGCCAAGGAGAAGAAAAAAATACAGCAACATATAAACTTGGAAAACCTGCTTAACTAATAGGAGAAATAGCCACGCATGGCTGGTAATCATCCTGACCCAATCTTGATGCTCAGCACTATGCAGTTGGTAATATAACCATCTTGTCCCAGTTAGTAGCTGCACCCCACTTCCATCTTATCATTCTGGACTGGATGTGTACTGGTGTGCTGGGACCTAGTATTTAGGCTCCAGCAATGTTCCCATTCCAGGCAGCGGCCTCAGCACTGGCTGGTAGAGCAGCCACCACCGCCTGCCCCAGCCACTGCAGCCCACTCCCCTTTCTGCTTCCACATCCTCCCTGACTCTTTTGGGGCATTACAGATCCAAGGGTACCACAAGTCTGTTTTCTTAGGAGATAAATGAATGGTGAGCAGGGTCCACAAATAGTCTCTATAAGCAAAAGAAAGATGTCCATGGGCTCCTTCATCTCAAGCATCAAAGTCTGACAGGCACATTTCCTTGGCCCTCTATCACTAAATACATCAACTGATGTGCACCCCGCTCCAGTCAGCTGCCCACATGGCCTTTCTGCTGAAGGGAGGAGGTCTGAGAGGGATTTGTCTCCCTGCTTGCAGGTGGCCACCACGAGCTGACCCTGTTTTACATCCTTTGACCACGAGAATCTCATAAGAAACAGCATGGCAAAACCCACAGAGGGCGTAAGTTAAACGCAGAAATATGTTTTCACTTGCCAGTATACTTGTAATATACAAAAAATACAAGGAAATTTCTAGACATGAGTGAGTCTATTCAAAAAGGAAATAGTAAGCCACGTATTGTACAGTAAACTAAATGAACAATAAACTGTTCTCTGCTGCTAGTCACTTTGGGGAAAATCAGAAGACTGCAATGGGCAGAAAAGAGGAACCTGTGTACTTTTGCTATCCAGGAACTTGTGCAAACTACAATGAGGTAAAATCTACAGATACTATCAGTTACCTTCACTCTAACAGAAGAACCATCTACAAAAATTTTCTGGTTTCAGCCTCCCCTCTTCCCCCTTTTTCTTTTTTATAAATCATATTTGTGCCAAAGCTGAAGAATGTGACAGGGTTCTATCTTGAGTTCCAGAAGCGTTACTTGATATTTATTGATTTTTATTGTATTACTGAAGAAATAGAATGTAAACAAGTAACTAAAGACTGCTGCGTGTCTGGGTGAGTCTGGAGCACTCCTGCTAGCCAGTAAAGTTACCGTGTTCCACCAATTTTGCACTACCCTTGTCAGCAGAATACCCAGGCTGTTTCTGGGCTATGTTAAGTAGAATCATAGAATCATAGAATAGTTAGGGTTGGAAAGGACTTTAAGATTATCAAGTTCCAACCCCCTGCCATGGGCAGGGACACCTCACACTAACCCATGTCACCCAAGGCTCTCTCCAACTTGGCCTTGAACACCACCAGGAATGGAGCATTCACAACTTCCCTGGGCAACTCATTCCAGTGCCTCACCACCCTTATAGTAAATAATTTCTTCCTTATATCCAATCTAAACTTCCTCTGTTTAAGTTTTAACCTGTTACCCCTTGTCCTATCACTACAGTCCACGGATATTCTGTCCCCAGCATCCCTATAGTCCCCCTTCAGATACTGGAAGGCTGCTATGAGGTCTCCATGCAGCCGTCTCCAGGCTGAACAGCCCCAACTTTCTCAGCCTATTCTTCAAAAGTAATCCAATGAACATCTATAAGCTTGAGTCTATCTGGGCTTGTTACCTTTGGCAAAGTTCCAGTACTTTCTGGGCATCTATCTTGCACCGATACTTAGCAATCCAGGGAGGCTTATTAGCTTACTGCTTAACCAGGCAGACAGCATGCAGCACCCCCTGGACATTAATTGCTCTGGGATTCCCACGATAGCAGGGTAATGGAACTATGGGCAATGCAGCAATTGGTAGAGGCCACAAGGAAGGTAAGACATGTGGAGAGAGCCTTTGTCAGCTTTTGTCTCATGACATTTAGTAGCTTCAGAAAAATGCTCTACTGCTGAAACACAGTGGTCAGTATATGATGTGCAAATGCCCAGCAGCAGTCAGGTCTGTTTAGACAGAACCTGTTAGCTCTGAATCACTGTCAGTCCCATTGGGCCTCTGCTGACACCAGGAGAACTCCTTAGGTATCTCCCTCCTGCTCCCAAGTCCCTTGCTGTCCAGGAAGTTTACTTCTCCATATGCAGGCCCTCATCACTATCCAGAGGTGGTTTGAGTCTGACATTGTGCTCAAGATGACAAACCTTCCTGAGACCCACAGCTGTGGGAAACATAGCCTGTGAAAACAGCCAGAGGTCCCTCAGGATCTGTGAATCTGAGCTCCATGCTCTATTGTTTAATAACTAATGCTAATAACAGATCAGTTCTGTCTTAGAAATGTTACAGCCATGACCACTAAAAGCAGGTCTAAACCAGTTCTGCTCTGCCTTCCTTCTCTTGCCATAAATCAGTACCTTCACCCAAAGAACGTACCAGTTGTCTAAGCAGGACACACTTCCCATTCACACACTTCCCATTCCATGAGAAAACTGGGGTCAGGATTTTCAAACCCTACATAAACAACATACTTCACAGGATTGTCCCAGTTCTCCTCCCTTCCACCAGGTATCGCTATTAGCTTCACTGCTCCACTAGCATCCCCCATATACTGTTCCAAAATGACTGTCCCTTGACTTTATTCCTTTACACCATTTTTTTGCAGAGGATATCTGTCCCTGAGGCCTGATAGCAATTCCTGCACCTGAGAGGTTTGTCAGATCCACATAGGTATCGAATCCTGAAGGGCTCCTCCTTTGTCCTGTAGATTTGTGTTGATTCTTGGAGGAAGGATTGTGAAAGATTCATTTCTGGAATACCACCGGGCTCCATTCTCTTCTCCACTCTTTTTGATACATAGCAAACCTGTTGCAAAGAAAACCGCTGAGGATATTTGACTCTGACCACTGTACACAGCATTACTGTTGTTAATTACTGTTGGTAATACCTATGTTTTCATGATAAATTCCTTGCTTTTAGGTTTATGGAGTGTGTCAATGGTGCAACTAAAAAAAAAAGTAAACACGAGAGACATCAGGCGTCAGATGTAATGAATGCACTCAGCAATGAGAATGGTGTGTATCGTATTGGATACCACAAAAACCACAGGAGAAACATACTAAGGGAAAGGCTGACGCACTTGTCACAGGAATAGCCTACATATCTTTCTCTCTTTATCTTCATTCCTTCTGACTACTAAGAAAGCCAGGCGTAATTGACTTTTGACTTGGACAGAAAAAATAAGCAGGCTGACTCATCAAAGGACTCTCGTGCAGTGTAGTTCTGGATGGCTGAGGAAGAGCCAGACAACATGGGTGGAAAATGGTAGAAATTCTGTATTTTGAAAGGGAGTTAATTAGTACCTAATTGTTCCTTAGCAAAACAAGGGGATACCAAGCTATAGTTAATGGGAAAAAAAAAGGCGCTTTTAAAGTATGATTCTGCAAAAAATCTATTGTAGTGACAAAAATATTTGACTTACATCAAATACTATTTATTTTACTTATGTCAAATATTATTTTAGAGTGAGTATTCTAATTTTAAAATAATTTTTATCATGTCTTTTCTGCAGAATCATAGATCACAAGAGGTCACAGAAGGGTTGAGGTGGGAAGGGACCTCTGGAGGTCATCTGGGCCAACGCCCATGTTCAAGTAGGGTCACCTAGACCTGGTTGGTCAAGACCGTACCCAGGTGGCTTCCAAATATCTTCAAGGATGTTGACTCCCCAACACCACTGGACAACCTGTGCCAGTGCTCTATCACCCTTACGTAGAAAAGTGTTTCCTTTCTCAGATGTTTTCAGATGGGGCTCAGCTTCAGGTGCTCATATGGGGCCTCCTGTATTTCAGGTTGTACCCATTGCTTCTTGTCCCATCCCTGGGCACTACTGAAAAGAGCCTGGCTGTTCTTTTCACCTTCACTTGAGATATTTATATACATTGATAAGATCCCCCTTTTTTCATGTATGTCTTCATTCCTTTGCCATATGAGAAACTGAACACAGTAGTGAAACTTGTAAGCCACTCTAAGTCAGTGTATTAAGAAATTAATGTGTCATATCAAAATGTATAATCAATATATTAGGTGCCAGGTGTAGTTATTACATTCTAGAAGTCACGTTTGTAAACACAGATATCCAGATTGTTTGGGGTTTTATTTCTGCACTCTTTCACCTTCTTAAAGCAGATAAAAGCTTTGCCTTTCTAGGGGTGTAATCATTTTGACAAAAGAAACTCCTTCCAATTGCTAGTAAAAGAAAGTAGTGGGAAAAGCAAAATAAGCAGAAAAACACCTTTGCTATCACCTCTATTTTTCCAAAAGAAACATTCCTGGGAATTTCAGTGCTGCTGCTCACTATTACTGAATATTTTAACAGTCTAAAAAACGTTGGTTGTATTTGGGCTGACAAAAAAAAGCGGTAAACAAGGAAATACTTAGTGCATAAAAGTTCTGCTGACAAACGGCTTGTGGCAGATGCCTTGTTCTTCCTGCATAGCAGGAAACGTCTCTGCCCTGGAAGACAAGCCTGAAGAGTGGGACTAAGGAAACCCAGTGAAAAGCCACACAGTTGTGCCTCAGAACCTCTCCTTTGAGAGCGGGGGATGACTCTGGAATGACACCACTCACATTCTTCCCACAGTGTCTGTCAGGGTAGGACTAGTGGATAAAAGGCATGTGAAGAGAGTAGTCAAAGCCCCAGTGGTGACTCATAAATGACAATATTCTAGCTGGCATGCCAGAGGGACTACTTGAGATCATTCCTCATGTTTTGGACTCACTGCAATGGGAGGAGACCTGCACTGGAACTGACAGAGGAACAGTCCACTCCTTTTCCTAAGCAAAGATTAGAGCCATCTGTCCATCTTACTCCAGAAACAATCACAAGAGAGAAGTTGTCTATTGGAAAGGGAAAGAGCTGTTTGCTACTTAAGTCGTCAGTTTCTACATGACACAAGCATTTGTGAAGAGGTTGGGGAAAATGCTATAGAGGAAAACCACCAAAACACCTGAAGAAGTTAGTTCAGCTGAGGAGCAGGACACTCTTAGAGATGCTGGTAGAAGTCTGCCGGTTTAATAGCTGGTTAATGGTATCTCTGCAGTCTGCCCAGAGACAGATCTCATTGTGTAGCTACAGTCTGAAGACATGGGATGAGAATACATTAGAAGCCTTAAAGGTCCACCTTCTGCAATGCACAGTGAATGATCCCTTTCCTGTTTTCCCTCTCCCAGACATCCTTAGTGGAGGTAAGATTACCAGATGGCAGCAGTGAGTACTGCCAGTTACAGCCACAGTCTTTCTCCATACTGGGAAATGAAGTCTTGAAGGTGGAAAACTTCCAAATTGCTACAGAACACCACCAGAAATCACCATTGCTTCATTTTTTCTTCCTGCTGAGACTTGTCGTCCTTAAAGCTATGGGGATAGCTATTGCACAAGGCTGGCACTCTCAAGGCAAGAAAATTTCCTGACCATGATGGCTTACACAATCTACAGAGCTCTTCACTGAAATATGACTCGGGATATTCTAGTGCAGCTCCCCTACCCTAGACAGCTTTGCCAGGCTGTTTTAATTAATCTTGTCACTCTTTGGTGTACTAGCCCCAGATATAATGAATCAACAGGAATTAACACAGAGCAATGAGCAGATTGGGGCTGTCTAATTCAAAGGAGGATGATATATCTTACCCAGAAGAGTCTTTTTATGGGAGAAAAAAATCATGGTTAGGTTATTCTGAATTCCTTGAAGGGAGGAAAATGACATGCAAAGTTGAGTTCTGGCTTGGGACAACCATGTACTCTGCCTTCTCTCCAAGGATTTGAGTGTAGCAGAAAGGGATGTTTTGGAAGTCTGCAAAGTATCCACTGGATAACTTTATAGCCCTTTATTAAAAAGTTAAGAGACTGCTAGTGAACTGAAGCAGTGCCTAGTTCTAAACACAATACTGCATGTAAAAAAGACCCCCAAAAGTGAACCCAAGTAGGGCAACAGGAGTGATCAGAGTTTTAGAAATAATGATGTCTGGCAAAAGACAGGAGGAGACTGGCTTTTTTCTGTTGTCCCCTCTTTTTTAGAAGAAACTTATTAAATCCTACATGTTGGGATGGAATTGTGATTACTTGTTACAAGCCTCAGCTGGGAAAAGGACAAGAGTAAATGAGCTTGCTTTGCAGAAGATAATAATCCTGGTAAAGTATTTAATAGGCTATTGAAGCACTTGAATAGGATACCAAAGGAATTTCTGGAATCTCACTGGAGCTCTTCATTCTTCAGTTCAACATCAATCTGTCATCTGCCTGTGGTCTGCATACAACGGGTAATGTCTCAGTGCAGGGATGTGACCTGGAGAGGATAATCTCATTAGACTCCACACCTCACCTGTACTGAGTGGAAGGGTTCATCCACAGTGGATACAGTGATATAGGATGGCCTTAAACAAAATGGCTCTGATCACTCATCTTCTAAACAGCTTTGATTGCTTTCTTTCCAGGCCATCTTCCCTGACTTTTCTTCAAGCTTTCGTTGCTTTATTCCTTCTTATCTGTGGCCACCCAGGAAAGAAGGAAGACAATGAATTGTAAGGACCATCTGCAAGCAGAAGTAAGTGATACATGTTATGGTCCAGGACCTTAGAAGGCAGTTGCACACTTTTGTCTGCAGCAGAGGAAGTTCAGGTATGGAATGAAACTGTCTCTTCACCGACATTCACGGCTGAACAAAATAAGCATGGCATGAAATGACATAATCATGAATTGCTCTTTTCAGATCTGTAGCACATTCTTTCTTCTGTCTTTGAGGTCTTGATAGTTATGTGTCTGCAACATCTGTCTCCCCATCACAGATGATGATTTCTCAGGAAAAGCAATGCAAAGGAAGGCAGGCATGGCTGTTTTCCTTTCCCTGGTCAATTAATTCTGGAGGAAAATGAGATGAGGAGCATCTCCCTTTCCTAGCTGGAGTACCTGTTGGGGAGCAACTTGTAGATGGGTACAAGGGGTGCCACTTTCTCCTTTCAATGGTGGGTCAGAAGTTGCTTAGCAGATTGGAGTTCTCTCCAATATTTATATACATACATTCCCTCTGTGTTAATATATATATATCAGCACTTCTGAGCTTTCAGAGATGAAAGGTCACTCTGATACCATACTTCACTGGTGAACTGTGGAAATCCATTTTGTCATTCTAAGTGTTGGTAAAAAAAAATGAGAATCTCAAATAAGATTGCTCAAATGACCTATAGTGAATTTTCTGGGAGCACATTTCTCCCAAGAGTTGCACAGAATAACATTATAAGACAAAGACTAGAACAAAGATTAAAGCCAACATTGCTCGCTACCCCTCACTAACTGTATCTGTCTTCAAATGTTACAAGAACATGAATAACATTACCAGATGACGCTAGACTAGGAGAGGAAGAGAGAAATAGGATGCACCATATCATTTTATCTCTTAGTCAGAAATCTATTTCCTTGCTTCAGTTGCTTCAAATGCATGAAAAACACAAGTTGCTGTTACGGTATTGTAACCACTTAGCATAAACGTTTTTTTCACTAGAAGCCTAAAACAAAAGCAGGGCCTGCATGTGGCTTTCTGTCTTTGAACCTATGTGATGAGCCTTTCAAGAGTGCAGGCAAAAAACAACATAAGCAAAAGTTCTGAAAATTCAAAACTAACAATCTAGTTTGCAAAAATAGCATTATTGTGTGCTTCTCACCACTGGTATAAATCTATGACTGCAATAGTCAGTTCTGCATCGCCAACCAACTTTTTATATAAACCATTTTGCCAGGCAATGATTAACTGTAAAAGGGACTGGATTCAATTTCCAGGCATGCATGCCAAAATGCTTAAGAAAGATGCCTTGATCTCCTCACCCCCAAACTAGGAAAAATTATGTGCACATCTGGGTACTCAGAAGCAAGCAAACACTCTCCATTTGCATAAAGTGACGCATAGAGGAGATCTAAGGAGAACTCCTGAGGAAAGGCAGTGCAAAGTTGGAGTCTTGGCGAATGGTAGATGAGCTTTCCCATATCACAATGGCTCTGGCAAGAGTCCTGATGTAGTTCTCCGACTTCTATGAAAGACAGAGGGAGCTAGCTACAAACTCTTTTCTGATTATGCCCCTGTCTAAATATCCAGGACTGGAGTCCCCCTGCTGCCCAAGGTGATCTCTTACCTCAGAGGCATATGCAAACCTGCTCCATCCGTAGGTGCAATTGTAGTCAACTTCTGGCTAGCTATTTTGTAAAGATCTGCCGTTCTGCAGATGCCTCTTGCTTCAGGGTATGGCAGTGCCTCTTGCTGCTGTGTTCCATGGGAAGAATGGGAAGGATGTGCAGAGAAATGTGAAGGATGATACTGCTCCTAGGGTCAAAGTGAGATGTTACTGTTCCACCTTAATGTTTTCCTACAGCCAAGTTTTTGTCTTGCTGCGCTCCCACAGTCTAGGACAGTACAAGCACACCCTGGCAAATACATCTAAGTTTTTCAGCTAGTTCTGGTCGTCATACTGCAAGTGATGCCTGCCTGTGGGGCAAAGTGATGATGCAGACGATCCTGTATCAGGGCAGAAGCTGATAAGCTTGGTGATACTGTAACGCTTGTGTAAAGCTGCAGATGTGGCATTACGGCATCGTATAAAGATCAAGGATTTGAAAGTGGGCAACAACATCACTTGAGGCAAACAGCACTCTTGGCAAGACTCCCACCATGTTTCCCAGCTCTGAAATTGGACAGGATTGTTGGCATGGTACACTCATTCAGACCCACACATTCAGGCATGGCCAGCAGAAGAGAGGTTGATGACAGAGGACAAGTGCCAAGGAAACAAAATTGATGACTTACTCTGACAGAGTGCACCAGATAGCTAAAGCCTGACAAGACTTAGCAGAAATGGAGATGGCACCCCATCCTCTTGCTCCACCACCAGCCAGCCTCCTTCCCCTGAGAACACTTGCCCTGTCAACAGTGCTTCAGAGATGGTAAAAACCATTCTGTGCCTGAAGTTGGTATGCTGATTTCAGAGCCTCAAAGAGGTAGAAAATTTCTCTTAGTGTTCCCTAAGGGAAAGACTAGATGTCCCTTCTTACACTTGGGGGGCTGGCTTTTTTTTTACTGGAATATCAGCATTAGCAAACTGGCAATTCCTTAATTAAATGTATTAAGTATGTTTTATAGTCATGCACAAAATCTAGAAGTGTTTGATATCTAAAGGGAAAGTCCACCTTAATCCCCCTTCACTCTCTGGAATCAATCAAATCCATTCCTGTAGCACCGCATCTCCTCTGTGTTAGCTTTCTAACCTGACCTTGCTTCTCTTGCTGTGTTGCATACCTGGCTTTCACAGGCCAGCACACCATAAGCCCTATCACAGAAGCATTCTAGAGCAGAGCACTGCATAGCTGAAGATTTGTTTCCTACACTGCACTCATTGGATTTTGATCACAAAGAAAATCACTTCAGAAAAAAATGTGATTTTTCAGTATGTGTCTTAGAGCATCTTTTGATAGTAGGCTTATCAAGCACTATCTCAAGTCTTCTATAGATCACAGTGAAGAAGATGGCAAAGGCACAATGAAGAAGCACTTGGGCTGTGTCTTGTCCATGGAGCTTTGTACTGACAAACACAACTTTGTGTCTGTTCCCTGAACATACTGGCCTGCTGAGTTAAAGGAATACCAAACTTCTGGCCTATCTGCAGGAAAGGGTAGCTTCTGGGCCAAACTGCAGGATTTCTCAAATATGTCTCTAAGGTAAGGAAAAGGCAAAGGAAAAGAGAGAGAATCAAAGGGCAAGCATGACAGCAGAGGGAGGTGATACCAGATGACCTAGCAGAAGAGAGAATTGAGGTGGTTGAATGGGGTATAGCTGTTAAAACGCCAGTTGATACAGAGGTGACATGGCACCTTGCAAAGACAAACAACCAAACTTCATGAGGATAGGGTCCATCAAAAATTTGACCTGCTTTCTACCTTCTAACTTACAGGGTTCCCAAACTTTATCAGCACTTAAGTGATTAAACTGCTGCAAGGTATTGCGCTGACAGGACTCACCTATTTCAATTCTTCCCTTCCTGAGGGAGCAAAGTACCTTTAGATCAAAAAGTTGGGTTGTGTCTTCTTGCAAAAACCCTGAGGAAGGCAGTCTGCTCCAATAACTTCATTTTGTTCAAGATATTTCCAAATTCTCCCTTTTCCTTAATTTGACCTTTTACTGTTAGCACAGTGCATAATATTTGCACACTTGGTAGTACTTATACTTTGTACTTCAAGTACAAAGTCAAGTCCATGAAATACCTACAGCCAAACAGTTTCCTCAGTACTGTACCCCCTCTACCTACAGCTAAACTATTTCCTCAGTACTGTACCCCCTCACCAAGATGAATACTTTTGGATGGGACAGACAAGAAGCTGTTGAGTCACGCAGAGCTCTCATTCTCTGTACCATTAATCATATGCAATACCTTTATTGGAAAAGGTCCAAAATAGTCTAATGAACATGCAATGTCCACTTTAGCAGTCAATGCACTCATCAGAGGAAGTTAGCAGGCAATTTTCTGAAAGAGAATATGGTTGTCAGACTGTCGTAACTCTGAGCCCAAGGTCAAAGTAAGAAGCTTTTAGTGCTCCTCTGTTGCTGTGTCTCTCAGGGTGAAACATTTCTAACACTTCCCAAAGAAAGTGCTATCCACAAACAATTCTAAAAGCTCATGGGCTGTGCTACACATCAGCTTCTTCATATATGGGTCAACAAAACCTTTCCTTCTTTGAGGCATCTATAGCTGTAAACAGAAATCCACATATTAATACAGTGATATTTCCTCTGCACATAAATCCTAAGTATAGTAAAAACTTCTCTGGTTGCAGGGTTTTTAATTCAGTTACAGAGCTGTGTAGTAAGCATGCATTCTACTCACTGAAGTCAATTATTATAAATACATATTTGTAATAAAATATATGTTGTCTAAATGCATTTTCCTTCAGGCTTAAAAATTCTAGGTTTCAGGTTGCATGCACCCCAGTTTTCCATAACTACAGGGTAAGAAAGTGTACTAGAGCCTTTCAAGTTAAACATCTGTTTAGAATGTTTTGTGGCTGTGCTAAGTCTTAAATCAATTTGGTTATAAAAACAAATACTCTTTACAGTATTAAAATAAAAGAATGGGGATGATTTATGGCTTGTTTTTAGCAACTGACTTGTCTGAGAAAAGATGGGCCATATGGAATGAACTGACTGAAAAATTCAGTGACATAATGCAGTTATTTATTGATTTGTATAGACAATAATGACCTGTAAGAGCTGCACTCTGCTGTTTCCCTGTCGCTCTAGGACCCTCTTTTAATACTTAAGGAAATCAAATATGTTCAACTGTCTGTATGCATTCTTACAATAAATGAATAACATGACAAATTGTGTTTTGGTATATCATAATGTGCTGTTAGAAATACATTATCATTTTCTTTCTTCTTACTCCTATCAGGAAAATACAGTTAGAATTTAGATTCCTAAACATCTTTCTTCTTTTTTTCAGTCTCTATATATGTGCTAAACATTTCTCCTTGCGTTTTGCTGCAATTCACAGGTTTATATACATTTCTAGATAAGAAAAGTGGGAGGAATTGCTAGAAACAGAATTGGAGAACACAGGAGCATGCAAAAAGTGACACAGAATGATGCAAGTAATATCTGGTTATAACCACTCTTTCTTCTTTTGAGCTCTCTGCATTTATTTTAAAACACTTCAGTTTTCTACATCTGACTTCTTTTGATCTTATAGCAGCTTCCAATTTCCTAAAGGGGACTCCAAGAAAGCTGGAGGACATTTTACAAGGGCATGTAGTGATACAAGGGGTAATGGCTTATCCTGAAGCAGGATAGATTTAGATTAGATAGGAAGAAGTTCTTTATTGTGAGGGTGCTGAGGCACTGACACGGGTTGCCCAGAGAAGCTGTGGCTGCCCGATCCCCAGCCATGTTCAAGGTCAGGTTGGATGGGGCTTTGAGCAACCTGGTCTAGTAGAAGGTGTTCCTGCCTAGGTCAGGGGGCTTGGAACTGAATGATCCTTAAAGTCCTTTCCAGTTCAAACCATTCTGTGTTTCTGTGCTCTCCCTTTCTCTGGGGGCTTTTAAATGTGGTTCTGTTCTTCAGGCACCCACTTTCAGTTTCTGTGCTAGACACCAGGTCCCACCCTTGCTGATGTCAACCTTTCCCTTGGCTGGGAAGTGAAGGCAAAATGACTGAGTTTCGATACCAATGTCACAGTCACTTCCAGGGTGCTGTTATGCGAGATACTGGATCTACCACTACTCCAGGCAGCCATGAGCAGTGATTTCAGCCTTCTCTCCCCAATAGCTCCCAGGCTGGATTCTTGCTGAGAAAGAAAGTAAACAGCAGCCTCTGCATGCAGGCAGCAGCAGCACCACCGCATCAGCTGAAGTTCCTCTTTCCTTCTCTGCAGCATTCAGAAGCTTTCAGTGAAATATCAGCACCACATCCTTACCAACTTTCAGCCCTCTGAGGAGCAGAAAATTGAAAATAGAAGCAAAAGTAGCTGAGATGATGTAACAGTCAGATGAGGTGACTAGAAACAACGCTTAGAAGTATGCAAGTTTAGAGAGATACCCAATACCAGCTAAGTGTATCTTAGAAAATTAAACAAAACAACTGGTCACCAAGATGCTTTTTTGAGCTGCACTTTGACTTCTGCATTTATTATGGACAGTTGATTAAATCAGGGGCTAAATCCAGAGTGAGGGCAGCCTGCAATTTAACAAGAATGTTATCCAAAGATCTTATGCACATTCCTTTTTATTATTTTATACTTTTCATTAAATAGGATATGAATAGGATATGCATTCAAAGAAAACATGGTAATTTGAAATAGCTAGCTCTGGCAAACTGGAGACCTAGAGTTTTTCAATCACTTTGTACTCTGAGAATTTATAAAAGCAGTATGACAGGAATAAGAAGCGATCGGTGCTGCTTCATGAGGAAATGCTTGTGTTTATGAGAATATTAAGAATGTCTGTCTCCTTTTTCAAATAGCATGTGTCATTTAAAACATCAAGAAGAAAATTATGTTGGCTTCTAGCTCCCTACTAGTTTCCTGCACACGATCACCTCCCTTCCCGCTAGTCTAAAAATAATGGGAAATATTAAAAAATGAGCAAAAGGATGCAGTTGAGAAGCCAGTTACATTCAAGAAGCTATAATATTAAGATAAAATGGATGTTCTGAGTGTGTAGGTGTTTGAAATAGTGATGACCATAAGAAGACAGATGAAGACTAAAATTATTTTCCAGAAGTGAAGTAGGGTTATGTGAGAAACTGATGGCATGTGGTCTTGAAAATGAAGGTGTGGATGACAGCCTGGGTTCAGTGTTCAAAACAGCCCTTTGAATGAACACATGTTTTCCACCAAGTAGAGGGAGTCTGAGGGGAAAAGAGAGTGGTATTTCAAAGCTTCTGCTTTGAAGCCCTGTGCAGGCACAGATCTACTTAGCAGATGAAGAGTCTACAGGCACTATCCAGAACTTGCATTCCTGATCATAGTACACAGTTGAGACTGCATGAGTCTGTAGCCTCCTACTAAATGTGTACTGCAAATACAACCATTTATGTGTCTCTGTGTGTTTGTGTATATATATATATGCATATATGTATGTGTATGTATACGTTTATGCATGTGAGTCTATAGGTGACCACAGTGCTAATATAAAATCAGTATGTCCTGATAACCTTGTTCTCAGCCCTGTGAAATACTGAGCTCTACTTCCAGTCCTATGAAGTATCTAGATGCATTCCTCAAAGTACGTGCTTATGCCCATGATTAAATGCCTTGACAGCTCAGGTCCCAGTTCCTCCACCTTCCCTGCAGGAGGGAGCAGAGGAGGAGGAGTAAGCAAGAGGCTGACCCTCTGCCTCTACGGTGAGTGATGGAACTTACTGTTCCATTTACAGTTCCATTTTAAAAATAGATAAAAATAGATGCTGGGCAAGTAAGCAATTAAAATTCAAGAAGGAAAGCAGAACTATCTGGCGGTTGTTCAGTAAGTCTAACTTGTATAATAAAGATCTGCACATAGCTGGTGTAAGTATAAACAGTCAGCAGCATGAGATTATGAAAAACAATTCTTGCCTGGCAAATGTAATTACTTTTAACAAAATTTAAAGCCCATGGACTGAAGAGAATACAGCAAAACTATTCTCCCTGCAGGCTGGATCATTCAGCTGTATGTGGAATAAGCTCCCATAAAACATCTGAACTGTTTTGGGGTGTATCGATGCAGACAGGTGCAGAAGGATCCAAATTCCAAGCTGGACATATGCTAGCTCGGCCCTGTTCCCAGTCAAATGAACTCACTAAGAGATCTAGTAGAGTCACATGAGCACCATATGGTGACACCACTTCCAAATGAGAGCAGGTTCATGTCAGTGAGCTCACATGTGTTTTCACACACCAAGACACCTCCTGAGTCCCCAGCTCTCCTTCTCCTGGCATTGAATTCACCAGGAGAAGTGATGAACAATAGTTGCCCTATGACTGTCTCACCATTATCCAGCACTTTCTGGGCTCCACCCCTCCTCCCCAGTTCTCTTCTGGGTAAATCACTCCCTGTCAATGGCCTGGCAGGAGAAACACCATTGTTCCATCTAGTGGAGAGCTATTCAGTGTTGATGGCCTTTGATTTCTCTTTCCAAACATCGGCCTTGCCTCTGCCAGATAGGATCTTGCTGGTAGGGTTATGCTGGCAAATCCTCCCAGCATAAGCAGTCTGTAGTCCCCGAAGATTTATTGTGGCCCGAATCGGTCTAACTTACATCAATTCTGCGGATATAATAAGTGCAGACAATACCAAAAGCCTCTCAGAAAACGTCCAATATAAAATAGATACACTAATTTACTGTGAAGATTACAATCGTAAATAGCATTCAGAAGAAAAGTAAATAATGTATTCATAGTTTGGCACAGACGTGTTGCCAATGTGTCACATCCTGACGGATTGGGGATATGTCTGTGTCAAAATATAAATTCCATTTTTGCTTTTTGAATGCCGTTTACAATTGCAACTGTCCATGTGGATTATTGCATCTATTTTTATAGCCAAGGCTTTGTCTGGGGAGATGTAACAGGGCAATCAACAGTGATGACTGGTTCTATTTTGCTTGAACAACAGTGTTCCTGCAAACTGGGCTGTTCCATCTTCCATCCATGTGCAGGGCAGGAGCAAAAAAGGGATGCAACCTTACTATGCAGGTACATTTGTCAAAGTGAGGTCTCCTTGCTAAAAGCAAGGCATGAGTGGCCAAACCAAAGGATTAATGGTGATTGTGTGGTCAGGTGGTGGGGCACCGCAGAGAGATCCAGCCCTGAACTGCTGGAAGGCTGAAAAGCCATTCAAGTGCAATCACTGAGACCTACTAATGGAAGAAGGGAAGGCTCAGGTACTTTCTAACACTCCTGTTCTTCTCCACTTCTTCCCCAGTAAATTCATTCCCAGGCAGGGCATTTTCATTCAGTCTGTTCCACAAGTAACCTAAGAGTTGCTTTGTATGGATAAACATCTATCAGATTGTTCAGACTAGATATAAGGAAGATTTTTTTATGATGAGGGTGGTGAAACACTGGAATAGGTGGCTTAGAGAGGTTGTAGATGCCCTATTCCTAGAAACATTCAAGGTCAGGTTGCACAGGGCTCTGAGCAACCTGATCTCGTTTAAGATGTCCCTGATCACTGCAGGGGGTAGGACTGAATGACCTTTGAAGGTTCTTTTCAACCCAAACCGGTCTATGATTCCGTGGTTAGCAAAAGTGGAGTTCTTTTCTTTCCTATACATTATTCCTGCCACCTGTATCTTGATAATTGAGCTTTCCCAGAAGGATTGTCTGTGGATATAGAGGTCAGCCATCTGGGGCCTGAGAAGCCGCACCACAGTGTCTAGGGCAAAGGCAGGCAGAGCAGGGTGCTGCTGTCTGAGCCGTGGTACCTGCCATGGCATCTGCATCCAAGGGGACACATCAGCGATCCAGGGCTGAGGAGCAGGAGACAGTTCCTCCCCACAGCAACCAGTCCCAGCAGTCTGCTGGGGATAAGTTTGGTGTCCCACCAGGGAGAGGATTGGTTTTCACTTTGTTACCTTGGACTTTCCACGTCAGCCTGCTCTGCTTTTGTCTGTCCTGTCCTTAACCCTCCCGTACAAGAGCTGCTTTAGGTACTTATCAAGCACCACAGGCAAAAGCCAAAGCCTTGCTGACTGGCATCCCCTGCCACTTCCAGTACAAACCAGAAATCCGTCGGCAAAACGTTGAGGAGGGGTGGTGGTGGTGAGGAGCCCGCTCATCAAAAGGCCATAAAAATAAAACCATCCCAGCTGTTACTCCGCTTCCTGGTGAGGCAGGTAAGTGCAGCGCTGAGATGAACGTGCCAGTACTGCGGAGATGCGCTTCCACCAGGCAAGGCGACAAGCACAAAGAAACCGCACCGGGCAGAGAGCGGGGTGGGCGCAGGGGGAGGGACGGGACGGACAGAGGGAAGCGCCGTCCGGAGGCACCGATGCCGGAAATGTTGAGGCTGCCCCCGACGCCCCGGAGGCGGGAATGACCCCCGCGTTTTCCCTACCAACTTTTCGGGAGAGCCGGGCTCGGCGGCGGCGCTGGCAGGTGCACCGCACCGGTCGCGGGGAGCGGCGCGGAGATCCGTCCCTGTCCCCGCTCCTATCCCGCAGCGGAGAGGCGCGCAGCCCGGCGGCGAGGCGCGCTCAACGCCGCGGCTCCGACCCGCGGTACCCGGTGTCCCCGTCCTCGCCGGTGCCAGCCGCGCCGCCGCAGCGCCCTCTGCCGCCTGCGGGGTGTGACGGCGGCGGCGGCGGCGGGCCGGGGATCGCGTGCGAGCGGCTCGCCCTGTCACTCGGCCGCCAGCCCGCCACCTGAATCACGAGGGAAGCGGCGGCCGAGCATCCTCCCCACCCCCGGCGCCCTCCGTCCCGCTCCAGCCGCCCGCTCTCGCACCTCCGCCCCTGCACCGCCGCTCAGCGCCGAGGACGGGGGGCTGCTCTTCGCCCGCAGAAACTTTGCACCCCCGGGTCGTGGCGGGGACCGTGGGGTAAGTAAGTGGCTGCAACCCGAGACCTCGCGGTTGGGCAGGGGAGGCTTCAGCCCCGGCTTTGCGGGGGGACCAGGGGACCGGAGCACGCCACGCCTCGGGGTGTCTGCTGGGGCTCCCCTCCCCGGCTGTTTCGGCGGCGGTGGGACCGCAGCCGTGCAGGACGCGCTGCGCTCCTTCCACCCGGGCGCCGGTGGCGGTCCGCAGCTCCCGCGAAGCGAAAGCCCCGGGAGGTGCCGGTGTCCCCTTGCGGGTGATGCCCGGGGTGCTGCACGGCTGGCCCCAGGGCTCAAACCGCGGAGGTGGAGGGTTTTGCCGGGGCACCTTGGCCCCGTCTGGCCTCACCCATCCTTTCCGCTGATGCTTCGAGAGACCTTTCAGGGTGAAAGCCCGGAGAATAAAGTTTCACGTTGCCTCTTTGGAGCCCCGAGGGCACTCGCTTGGCCTTACCCGGGGTGGATTTGCTTTGGGGTCAGGCGGTGCATCTCCCCAAAGATTCCCTTCTCAGTGGCTTATAACTTCAGAGCTACAGATTCTTGTTGTGTTTCAGTTTGACATAGCCAAGGAGGAAAAATCAGCGAGGGAAGGGCGAAGCATGTGTACAGGCTCTCGTGCTTTTCCCCGACTTTGCGTTACTTTCTGTAGTAAACAAGAGTTTTACCCTTCTTCGGGTGAAGCTGTAGTTTTATGTCTTTATTGAAGAATAACTCAGATAGCATAAAACCAAGTTATAACACGCAAGAAACTCTTTCTTCCCCGAAGACGGGCACAAACAATGTTTGTGCATCATTTAGTGAGTGTCTAGGAGATAGACTATTAAGACCAAAAGAAAAAAAGGAGGAAAAAAGGAAACAAAAACCACCAGAAAACCCCAAGAATATGCTTGACGTTGTTTGGTAGTTGAAGTTTTCAAAAAGACAAGCGGGGCTGGATTTAAATAAAACTGAATGATCTGGTTGGGCTCAGAAGTGGTCTGTTGAGAAGAATGTTGATGCACATATGTTTGCAGTAGATAAAATAAAACAGTGCTCTTTTATGAACCGTAGAGAGTGTTATTATCCAGGGCTAAGACTAAATTGTTGCGTGTAAGTGAGAGACTTAAACGACTGACAAGATCAAATTCACTGGCAAGACACTTGGTTAATTTGCAACCAAGAGCACGAATTTGTTTCCTTGAAAAACAAAGTACCTAATGCCATAGATATTAAGAGCCGAAGCTACCAGATCAGGTTTTGACAGTAACTTTAACACTGTTGTCGCGGCTGGCACCCTCCACAAGCAAATGCTGAGGCAGTGCTCGCTTTTCACTGCTGCATCCACCGCATCTCCGCATCAGTGTATATATTTGTGACAACATATTTGTTTCCGTAGTTGACCATAAAAGTGTATTTGGGTGTTCTCTGGTCTTGAGGACAGACCTGGGTTCCCAGGGGCTGCATTGGGCCTATGTGTAAATGCCTCCAGCCTTTATTCAGCTCTGGAAGCACAAAGCTCCACAGTCCGCAGGGTGAAGGTGTACTGAGGTGGACTGTGTTGGCAAAGAGCGGCAGGGAACGGACGCTGGCATATGGAAAAGCCAGATTGTTGTGGTCTCGGGGTTTTTATTCCAAACAAGCCGTAGAAGGGGGTGGTACGTTATTACCTCAACTTCCCATCGATTCCGATTTCTGCCCAGGAATCGTGAGGAGGAAATGCATTGCTAGGCCCTGTTTGCAGTGCGGATGCTTACGAAAACCAGCCAGGCAATCTAATATTGATTCATCATTTTCAGTGTGCAAACAGGCTTAAACTCCACCATGGGGGATTTACGAGTTAGAAGTGATTTTTGCATTTGATTTGCCTTTCTCTAGGTATATCTAAAAACATAGAAAAGACACTGTCGGTATCAGGAACTGCCCATATGCAGCTGAAGTTGGCACAGCTTTTGCCGCCGTGTTTTAAAGGGGTTCGATTTAAGCCAAGACCCCACTAAATATGGGGGATCTGCTATTGAATAACCAAGGTCTGGTGCCAAATCTTTCCTTAATAGTCGTAGTAATTACTGCTGACTCATGCTGACATGTGAGTTTAATTAGCCCCAACTGGAATGTAAACGATGTGGGAGTGTCTTTGTGCCCAGAGACAGCTAGGACAAAGCAGATTTTGGAGGAAAATTTAAGGAATTGCCAAGTTTGGGTAGGAAGTGTCAGCCAGGGCTTTTTTTTTATTTTTTTTTTTTTTTACAGTAATGCTTCAATAACCAATCAAGTTGATTCTCAGGAAGGGGATGACTTTGGATAACATGAGCTTGTCTTCACTATGGAGTAACTGGAGTCCTAACTCAGACATTGCTTCTAATTTGACTCATGTCCACACACTCACAAACTCGTTGCTGAAGAGTGGTGATGTTTTCAATTTGAGTTGGCTTACCCATGAGGAATAAGCTATAGCTCAGATAACCACAATTCATCAACTGCTAACACAATCTGCCTGAATGGCACAAGTGGGATTTTGCTCAACTTTGGCTGCTCCCACTTGATCCGGGGTTACCTGGAGAGCTGGCAGCACCTGCCTGCTTTCCTGCTATGGGCAAGCCAAAGGCATCATCAGTTCTGCCATGAGGCAAGCAACGGGATGCTTGTCAAAGTGGATGTTCTCACACAGTTCCTGTCTAACTGCGTGTTTATGACAGCTTGCTGGTGGTGGTCACTGTCACCACACAGCCATGGTAGGCAGGACAGGAGGACCTGGCAGCAGTGCAGTGCTCACTGACGCTCAGAATGGGGCATCGCTGCAACAACATGTGAAAAGTGAAGAATGTCTACCCCAGAAATTTGTTTACTACCAGCTGGTACAAGAAGGTCAGTCATATGTCAGAGGTATATGCTGATATATATATATATAGAAATCAATCCAGCCAAACTTGGTTAGCAGAAGCAAGAGCTGCTACTTTGGGAGAAACAGTTTCGTTGTTGGCCCTCTATGCAAATTGCTACTAGGAAACGCAGACCAGGATTTCTACAAACATTTTGAGGTCGAAGCAAAGAAGGAGGGCACAAGAGCAAATATTCAGTCTTAAGTGTACAAAGTGCATGCTTTTTCTAAGAGGAAGCAGGCTCCTGGATCTGCCTAAAGAATGAAAGTTTCAAGGTACTTTGCAAGGAATTTGAGTCAGAGCTAGGGACCAGCTGAACATCCTGAGACTGAAATGCTTTAGGAGTATGTCTCTGTCGGTCCAGAGCTTCCACAGAGCTGTTGACAGTCCTTTTGGATTTAGTTCAATTTACCTTCAGAGCAGTGATCTCTGAGGTTTCTAAAGCAGTTGTAGCTGTGTTGTGCTGTCGTCAGCATAAGAAATACACCATGGGTAACTACAGAATTTGAATGGATAGACTGGCAGGATTGTACAAGTGGGGTGGTGCACTTATACATAAATACCCAAGTATTTATGACCTCCCGAGGTCCCCAGTACCAGTGTGTAATACAACCATTTCAGTGTAGACATCTGTTCATGCTCTTGCAACCCTCAATCACACAGTCAGGCAGCTAGAATTGCAAGAAACCCAGTGTATCTCTTTTACCTTTGTTTGTGAGACCTTATGCTGGATCTTATCCTTTCCCTCTGATAGGTGCCTTCTGGTGTTCAACAGCAGGGCAAGTGCAGGATGATGGTGTAAAATTGTGTGAGATGGCAGAGCTTAGCAGCCTGTGTCAGTGGAACACCTTTAATCTGAGTGCCTGTGAGCGAAGCATTTAGGCTGCATCCAGGAACTTGTTGCAGGATGAGATTGCTTTGGGCTGGCCCATACTGTCTACAGTTTTGAATTAAGGCTGCATCTGCAGACAGTGAATAAATAATTTGCATGAAGCAGTCTATTAAGCTGAGGCTGCAAAACATGTTGTCTGCCACCGTGTCGTCGACCCTTCCTGTTACTGCAGTGGTGCCTCGTGCACCGAAGCTATTGCTCTGTATTAAAGAGCAATATCCATGTATGCGTATTACTGATTTATTCCTTAAACTTCACTTGTGTTGATGCTGAATGGTGGTCATTTCAGTAGGTTTAGCTTGCTGAAAACATGTGCTGCCATAAATTCACATTTTGTCACTCATTAAGGACTGTAAAAATCCACCACTAGTGGATTCCTCCCTCTTCTGTAGCACTGGAGCTGAGACAGAGTGAAGATGAGTATGTGGCAGTTTTGGGGTCATTGTCTTGCTTTCCTGGGAGCCGTTTGCTGTGTTTCGTACTATACTGATCCCTGGGAGTCATGATGCTGAGTAGCCTCTTAAAATCCTTCCTTTATTGAAACTTCAAATATCATGCTCTCACCTCCCAGTCAGAGCAGCATTGTTTGGAAAGGGGGCTCTTCTTTGCCTCCTTATCTTTCACAGGGATTTAATGCTCCAATGCGTGTTTTCCTGATGTCTGAGAACTCCTAGTGCATTTGCCAGATTGAGTCTTCCTCTCTTTGCCCTCAGATGAGGAATCCTTCCACAAACACGGTGGGGTTTTTTTCTCATTTCAGGCCATTTCTAGACAAGCAAAATTTGCTGAGGTTGTTCTGTGGGTGCTAGAGATTTCGGAGGGGTATGTTGAAAAGACTATCATGCAGGTTGAGACCCCAGGGGTCTGTCAGAGCTGTTCCCTGTTTCCTGAATGGCTCATATGATGAGTTAGAGTATGTGGGCATTCAGCCTGCAGAGGTCACCAAGCTGAAACAGGTTTCAGGCACCCTGCTAGACGAGAGTCAAATTCAGAGTGATTTTGACAGTCACAGTCTCCAGAAAACCAAGCAGGATGTGAGTCTGTAAGGTTCTGTGCAAAGGTTTATCTTCAGTCAGCAATAAATCATGTACTCAAGTGCAGCACGGCAAACGGCTGGCTGGGCGACACAAGCTAAGGAGAAAAGGATGTGGAAATTTGGTGGATCACAAACTAAACATGAGTCAGTAGCATTGCATTGTTGTGAAAATGGTGTGTAAAAACGGGACTGTAAAAATAGTGTTTTGTCCAAGATTC